GGTGAGCTGGGGTGTTTTGCTCTGTGTGTGTGTGTGTGTGTGTGTGTGTGTGTGTGTGTGTGTGTGTGTGTGTGTGTGTGTGTGTGTGTGTGTGTGTGTGTGTGTATGCATGTATGTGCATATCAGTACTGAGGCTTGAATTCTGGGCTTTGAGATCTCACTTGGCTTTTTGACTCAAGGCTGGCATTCTACCACTTGAGACAATCCTCTACTTCTACTTTATTCTGGGTAATTGGAAATAAGAACTTTACTGACTTTTCTGCCTGGTTGGGCTCTAAACCTTGATCTTCAGATCTCAGCCCTCTGAGTAGCTAGAATTATAGGCTTGAGCCACCAGCTTGTGTTCCGCTTTTCAAGTGCAAGGATTTGATATTCAGTTTTGCTCACAGTCAGTAGAATCCCTGTTTTCTGCTTACAGTGTTACTTTGGCTTAGTTATTCAACCTTATTTGAAAAAAACAAATAAGCAGGGATGGCCAGTAGTCCAACTCTGGGTTGTAGAAATCCACCATGTACTGACTTGAGACCTGATAATGCTTATAAGACTATAGGATTTAAAGGTGGATCTGGCCTCAAGGACAGTTAGTACAAAGGTCTTTCCTTCCTTCTCTTGGCATGTTGGTCTCTTCCTGACTGCTTACCAACTCAGGGTATGAAACTGCTTTCTCTAGAGCAGCAGCAAGAAAGTCCCAGCAAGGTCTCAGCTTTGCTGAGCTCATATCTAATCAGTGGTGAAGAATGTTTTCTCTGGCACAGGCCATTTAGATACTTGTAACATCACATGCAAGCCACACAAAATTATCAATACAAGCAGATGGTTATGGGGGCGCAGCCCACAAGAGCCAAAGTGAAGCATACCTGTCTGCACTGTTGTATACCAAATGATTTTACTGGCCTTGCATGTATGGCTCATGGGCTGAATGTTCCCTACCCCTCTAAACCACCTATCGCTGAAGGGGGGGAGGAAGTACTATTTTATAATTGGCTAGGTGTGATTACATGCTCTTCTTTGAACTTTCACAAAATCCTCCTGATACACCACAGGGAATGGTTTGGTTGTCAAAGGAAGGATCTTGTGTAGGCATGCCATCACTGCCTTCCCACAG